GAGAGAGGGAGGGAGGGACACTTCCCTGAGCAGTCCTTGGCCCTCAGCCAGGAAGTCTTTTCCTTGGTGCCACAGGTAGCTGTGAACTCTTGTACCTTTCCCAGTCAGGGCTGCTGTCACCTCAGGATAAGTCATGAGAAACGCCCAACTCCTACTGCTTTCCTGCAAAGGCTCTTTGGAAAAGTGGTGCCTTCGATTAGTTCCGGTTAGTCCTCATTCTTACACTCAGGTAACTCTGGTGAAAAGTAACATAGGAATGGGGGTGGGGGAGGGTTATGGCAGCTCCCCAATCTATTTACCACCCACTCCCAAGCCCTCTCTGAGCCCCATAGTTCCACAGAGCTTTTGAGCTAATAGGGTCTTTAGACATCATCTGGTCTAGCCATCTGATTTAAGAAATGAGACAACTAAAATCCAGAGGAGATGAAGTGACTTACCCAAGGCCACACAGCTAGATTATTATTATTGACGATAATAATTATTAATATATTTCACATATATTTATATCATGATAGCTCTCATTCTTAAATCATGCTTGTTTTAAGATTTTCAAAAATCTTTCTTTATAACAAGCCTGGGAAAGCTGCATCTAGGATTTTGAGCTGGAAAGGATTTGACTTTAGAGATTAATTTATGCAACCCCCCACAATCCTCTTCACCCCCACCCCCTCCACCCCAGCCTATTTTATAGGTGAGGAAATGAAAGCCCAGAGAGGTAAGCTAGCCAACAAGCACTTATTAAACACTTTGTGACAAATGCAGAGGATACAAATAAAAACAAGAAAAATTGTTCCTGCTTTCAAGGACCTTATATTATAATGGCAGAAAACAATACACAAAATGGATCTAGGGGTTGGGAGGCACATTCTTGGGAGCATAGTATCAAAGTCCAGAAAGTCAGAAGCAGAGCCAAGAGGGAAATGAAAGTTGGCTGTCCTGGGCCAGAATAGAGGCCTTGGTAGGAACTCAGCAATGGAAGAAGGGGGCTGGCAGGGCTGAGAGATATTCCAGGCTGAGAAGTAATACATGCGTGGAGAGATGGATGTTCCAGAGTGAGGAGGCTCTAGTTGCTAAAGGAAGTTCTAGAGTGAGATGGCAGCTGAGGCATGGTAGAAAAGTCCAGAAAGGCAGAAGCAGAGCAGGGTTGGGAATTACCCCAGAATTCACATATATAAAGCACCAAAAATCAGGATTTGAATCCAAGCCCTGTCTCTGAATTCAGCAGACTTTTCACAACAGTAGGAAGCCTCTGGGTGCCTGTCAGCCCAGTAGACTTTCAGGGACACCTTTCCCTCTGCCTAGTATGCTCTTTCAAGGTCTTTTGCAGTAGGTAGAATTGGCTATTTACTTTGAACAAAGCCTCAGGCTAGGGAATCAATTAAACTCATTCTGAACTGAGATTTTGAATTATAGGCACAAATTTTTTTTTTACTTAAAACTTGTCATTTCACTGAATGGAAGACAGCTCACTCCATTTTTCCTTCTTTCTCTTCTTTGCAAGGAAAAGAACTACAAAAGTACTAGGGGCTTCTAATCCTTCCCCAGTCAGGAGACTACAGAGTGAGAGTACCCATCTCTTTTAAGGAAAAACCTTTTCCTTGTGATTAATAGAAATTAATTCAGATTATGGCATCATAAACTTGAATGCAGAGCAGTAAAATACCTAAATTCTCTTTCTGAGACTACTAAAATTAGAGGGGTACATAATATTTTAGGGGCAGGTGGGTGGTACAGTGGATAGAGTGCCAGCCCTGGAGTCAGGAAGATCCGAGTTCAAATCTGGCCTCAAACACTTACTGGCATGTGATCCTGGGCAAGTCACTTAACCCAGTTTGCCTCAGTTTCTTCATATGTAAAATGGGCTGGAGAAGGAAATGACAAGCCACTCCAGTAACTTTGCCAAGAAAATCCCAAATGAAGTTACTAAGAGTTAGACCTAACTAATCAACAAAACAACAACAAATAGTTGTCTTTTCTGCTCTGAGAGAAACAAAATGGCATCACTATGTTGGAGTCAACGTACAGCGTGACCTACTATGGCTGATCAGACTAATATGAGCTTGGAAAGCTCTGCCACAGGTTGCGAACAAATAGTCCATATGAACATTTGGAGTGGAGATGTCTCTAAATTTGTCCATCTTGTGATTCTTCTGAACTACTGCAGTTCTTTGCTAATGGAGCAGAGCACCTTCTGTGATGAGGGCACGCCACACTGGATGGTCCTGTGCCAGTGTCTCCCTTGTCTCATAACTGATTCCAAAGTTCTTCAGAGAGACGTTGAGAGTGTCCTTGAATGGCTTCTTCTGACCTCCATGTGAGCGCTTGCCCCATGTGAGTTCTCTGTAAAATGGTCTTTTAGGCAAGTGTACATTTGGCATTTGAACAATGGCCCAACCCATTGGAGTTGTGCTTTCTGCAGTAGAGTTTGAATGCTTGGCAGTTCAACTTGAGAAAGATCCTCAGTGTCTGTTCTTTATCTTGCCAAATGATCATCAGAATCTTCCTAAGACAATTCAAATGGAAGCGATTCAGTTTCCTGGCATGGTGCTGGTATGCTGTCCAGGTTTCATAGGCACACAACAATGAGGTCAGAACAATGGCTCTGCAGACCTTCAGTTTGGTAGGCAGTCTAATACCTCTTCTCTCCCACACTTTCCTTCAGAGCCTCCCAAATGTTGAGCTAACCCTAACAAGGCATGCATCAACCTCATCATCTATATGTACATCCCTGGAAAGTATATTGACAAGCATACTTTGGTAATTAAGCTTATCCACAGCATTCAAAACTTCTCCATTTGCTGTAACCAATGGTGCCACACGTGGATGGTACAGTGCTGGCTGGTGGAGAAGCTTTGTATTTTTGGTGTTGATTGTCAGGCCAAAATTAGCACAAGCAGCACAGCGTGGATCTATACTCTTGCATCTCAGCCTCAGATGCTGCATTGAGTGCACGATCTTCTATGAGCAAAAAGTCACATACCAACTTTCCCTCCACAATACTCTTGGCTTATAGACTTTTCAAGTTAATTAATGTACAGTCTGTGTGGTAGCTGACCTTGATGCCTTGTTCATCCTTGTTGAAAGCATCTGACAAGACTGATAAAACATCATGCTAAAAAGCATGGGAGCAAGCACACAGCCCTTCTTCACTCCACTGGTAACTAGGAAAGCACCTGCCATCATGAAACTAACAACAAATACTATTTGAAAAAAGTAGTGTGGTATAATGGATAGAGCTACCGGGGAAGATCTGGGTTCAAGTTCGGTTTCTGTCATATACTGGCTATGTGTGTGACTCTGGGGGAGGCATTAAAACTCAGAACTACAGGCCAATGGTGTTAAACTCAAATAGAAACAGGGGCTATGAAATCATACCTAGGGATCCCTGAGGTGGTCTCATATTGACTTAGAAAGTCAATTTTCTTTTAAATTAATACTTTTTCTTTTTAATTATTTCTTTTAAAATTCTTTAAAATTCTTTAAAAAATTGTTTTCTTTTTAAATTAATATACTAATATGTTAAAATCAGCTAGAAACTGCATTTGAATCTGGTTTGGTACATTCAGGAGTGTTGTGGGCCATTTGCAGACTGAGTGTTTGACACTGCTGCTCAGGCAGGTCTCTAAGCCTAACTTACAGAGAAAGTACTGATCTTCCTTGAGAGAGGAAGTTTCCTCACCTGGGTGTTCCCTATTTTAATAAAATCACAGGTCAAACCCCTTTCTCTATATGATTTTGTAAATTAAATCATTCAATAAAAAGTCAAATTTTTATTAGAATTTTTTTAAACTTCTCATAGGAACAAAACAGAAATCCACATTGAGAAATTATATTTAAAGGTAATTACATATATTTTACAGAAAATCAGTATAATTTTTTCAAGCATAGAAACTGAAGATCAATGTTATTGTCACTCATTATTTTTCTACATTTAGAGATAAAAATGTGACTTTTAAAGACAAAGCAGGGCTAGATACTCCCTTGTTTCTTTGCTTTGCTTTCATTCTCAAGATGAGTTCTTGCTGATTGCAATTTAAAAAGCAATTAAACATACAGCATTTGCAAGGGTTTTTTTTTCCAACAGATACTTCTAAAAAGAATTTCTTTGACAACATGATCTTTTTCAGTTCATTTTCTGATGTTTTATGTTCAAATGTTAAGGAAACTTTGATTTCCTGCTTTCCTTCAAAAAAAAAAAACTTCACCATGACCCATTACAAGCTTAGTGAGCCTCCCTCTGATCCAAAGCAAATAACGAACATAGTTTTTAAACAGGGACAAGTGGCTGGCAATATCTCTTCTCAAAGCCTAATCATTCCTCATTTTAAAAAAATGGATAATCAAAATTTGCTTTCTTTTCATTGGCAGGAACAGACAAACCTGAAGTATTTGATTCCTGTTACCTTTTGTAAGAAAGAAACCAAGCAAGAAATGTTGCATTTTTCCCTATTCAAAGAATTACCTTTCTATAATACCATTATTTATGAGAGGCAGCTGACAGGGAACAGAATTTTGGGTTAAAAGACCTACCTAGGTTTGAATTTTGGCACTTTACTTCAATTTTATCTGTCTCAAATTCCCTATCTGTAAAATGAAGAATAATTATATTTCTACCATTTGCCCCTATGGGACTGCTGAGAGCAAATGACTTTTTAAATCTTAAAACCCTGAAGGAAATACATAAGCTGGACAGCTTTGAAAATAAAATGTTGGGTTTATTGTATACCTTTTTAAAAAGCAAGCTATATGTAATAGAGATTCACAGCTTCATATACAATCACCTTCTTTGTTATGCTGTGCATTGTGGAGATGCTATTTTCTTTCTTTTGGTGTTTAAGTCCAGAAGAACAAAAGTTTAAATAAAAACCTTTAAAGTCCCATAAAACTGTAAATTATTGATTGAAAGAAAACATATTTTTAAAACTTTAGAAGCGAAACTCCAATAAGTAAATTAATTACACAATGCCCTTCCCCTACTCAAATCTCTTGCTGCCTATTGATGGCGTAGGGATGAGAGGTCTAGAGCACCTTGGAGAGATTCCTCCTATCCAAATGTATGTTTCCTTTAGCCTTCTTCCAGTGAAATTGAATGTTGGTGTCTATTCTCATTGACCACATTGAATCAGGGTGAAATTCCTCTCATCTACCAATTTGTAGGTTTTAAGAATCAAGGACCTTTGGTAAGAAATCTGTGGTTTAAAAAAAAATTGTTAGCTAAATACGACACCAAAGCCAATAGGTGATAGTTTGGTGACAGGTAGACACCAAAGGTAGATGAGCAGCCCTGAAAAAAGCTCGGCAAGCCCTCACACCAGAGGTGCTAGTCCTTCCTGAACACCCCATACACCCCTAGCATGCCTAGCAGCCATGCCCCAGTAAACCATCCTGGCAGATGGACTAAACAAGGTTGAAGGTAATTGACAGGCCTCAAACCTGTTGACGAGATAGGGGGACGTCTACCTGAAGCATGTGAAGACTTTTCCAGGTGGAATGGACAGATGAGAACATCTGTTCCAGTGGCCAGGAAGGCACTGTGGAGTGCTTAGAGTCTGGTCAGATGTCAAAGATGCCAAGGTCATCCACTGCATCCTGGGGGCCATAACCAGTTATCTTGACTTTTATCCTACCACTGGAGTTAGATGATTCTGGAAAGAGAAAGTGAGACTGATGACTTTGTGCAACTCTGCCTCCCAAATCCGATTCAAGGGCAATTCTAGATAGCATCTGGTGATGTCATTGGCCCTGTGAAAAATGAAGGAGGAACAACCACAACCCTTTTAGTACGGAGAAATGGGCAGGAATTATTTTTGAAATGAAATAAACACTAGCTTATAAGACTGTGCAAAATCAGAAGTCATTGTTCTGACATATGAAACTCTGACAGGACCCGCTGCTCTCCTAAAATCCCCTCTATGTGTTGATTCCTTCTGTTAAATGGTGAGCTCCCTAAAAGCAGGGACCATTTTTGCCTTTCTTTGTATCGCTAGTATTTACATAATGCCTGTTCTTGAGGTACTTGGTTATATAGTATATCATAGGACTTTAAAGCTACAGGGGATGTGAGAGGTTATCAAATCCAAATCCATCATTTTACAGATAGGTAAGTCCCAAAGGCTTCTTCTAGAGAAGGTTCACATCAGAACTTTCCAGGCAATTCTCCATTTTTCATCAGCAGGTATGCTTGTTTCTACTGCATGGATCTTCATCATCAGCCTGGTACCCTCTCTCCTTTCTCAGCTTTTCTGTTGTCTTCTCCCATTACCCATTAGATTGTAAGCTTCTTGAGGGCAGGGACTATTTTGTTTCTTTTTATTTGTATCCCCAGTCCAAGTAGCATAGGACCTTGCATATACTAGGTACTTAACAAATGTTTATTAAACTGAATTTAATAGTCTCCCCTTTCCTACACCATCCGACCCCAGACCTAGATGCTTCATGTTGCACAGTAAGCACCTTTCCAGAAAGCAACTCTTGTCTAGATGCCCAAAGTAATGATATATGGTTTATAATGTATAATGACAGCACCATTCTCTCAGTGATGCTCTCTTGTTTTTTATGGTGCAGATACAGCTCCATTTGAGAAAACTAGATTAATATGAAGTTGCAAAGTAAATGCATCCTGAATTAAGAAATTATTTTTATTCTATTAAAATGCTTTTTAGAAAAGCATTCATTTATCTAACCTAGGTCACTAAGTGCTTGTTTATAGTTTTTCAATGACTGGACACAGAAAGGCTGAGGGAGGAGGTAAGGGAAAGTCATCAGTTAGGAGTTAGTTAACTGCCAATTGAAAACCAATCAAATGAAAACAAAGCACTTGAGAAATGTTAATGTAAGTCAATGTGAAAGCATGAATGATTTAAGAAAATTGATTTCTGAATAACCTTTTTTTAGGAGCAGTCTGTGGGACCTTTTTTTCTAAGGAACTCAAAGAACCTCTGTAGTGCTCACAAATATGGCAAGTAGATGGTACCTATCTCTGAAATCACAGTTAGATTCCCCGATTAGGAACTGGAGCCTAAATTCTTTCTTCTTTTTGATGGTATCAAAAGACATTTGGGAGAAAGGAGATAGAAAGTCCTCTAAAATTCACCACTGAATTGTTTGGAGAGGGCAGAAGGCAGTAAACTTACCTGGCTGTTGGTAGATCAACCTGCCAGCATTCACAATTTGATAATATAAAAAGGAAGAGAGCTCTGACTACTGAGGATCTGGGAGATTTGGGGATTAGCTTTTCCAAAGCACTTGATTTGAGTCTCCTAAAAGAGCAACAGAGAAGAGCAGTACATTAGTATGTTTTGTTTTGTTTTTTACAAAACTTGCATAGATCTGTGATATTTGTTGGTTTTCAAAGGGCTTTGATTTCAAGGTCACTAAAAAAGCCAAGTGGATTACTTTGAGGCTTACTGCCATATTTATTTATTTATTTATATTTTTTATTGCATTCCTATTAAACATTTTTCACATTAGTGATGTTGTAAATAAGAATTAGAACCAAGAGGAGGAACCACCAGAAAGAGGAAACAAAACAAAACAAAACAGAAGAAAAAAAAATTGCAAACTCCATAGTTCTTTCTTCTTTGTGGACAGCATTTTCCATCACGAGGCCTTTGGAGATGTCTTAGATCCTTGTATTGCTGAGAAAGGTTAAGTCTATCAATATTAGTCATTGCACAACATGGCTCTCACTGTGTACAACATTCTCCTGGTTCGCCTCACTTCACTCAGCTTCAGACCATACAAGTCTTTCCAGGTTTTTCTGAAGTCAGCCTGTTCATCATTCCTTATTGCACAATAGTATTCCATTACATTCACATACCACAACTTGTTCAGCCATTCCTCAGTTGATGGGTATCCTCTCAATTTCCGATTCTTTGGCACCACAAAAAGAGCTGCTATAAATATTTTTTGTACCTATGGGTCCTTTTCCCTTTTGTATGATCTCTCTGGGATATAGCCCTAGAAGTGCTATTGCTGGGTCAAAGGGTATGCACATTTTTATAGTCCTTTAGGCATAGTTCCAAATTGCTTTCCAAAATGGTTGGATCATTTCACAACTTCACCAACAATGCATCAGTGTTCCAGTTTTCCCACATCTTCTCCAACATTTATCATTTTCCTGTTTCGTCATGTTGGCCAATCTGATAGGTGTGATGTGGTACCTCAGAGTTGTTTTGATTTGCTTTTCTCTAATCAATAGTGATTTAGAGTTTTTTCATATGACTATAGATGGCTTTAATTTCTTCATCTGTTACTCCCATATTTATGAAAAACTTTGAGGCTCAATAAAACATTAGTATTTAGTTAAACTGAAAAGTACTATCCTCTTTCTCTGTCTCTCTATGAATAAGTATGAATAATATGAATATTGTATGTAGGGCACTCCTGGGTGCCGGGTATATAATGAATCATATACACATAAGACACAAAACCCAGTCTTGTCTGGGCATGCCCAATTCACATAACATGGAAGTACAATCCAGATTGCCTAACATGGAGGACTCCTTATATGCACAGGGATTGATTATCTGCCGGAATCTTTAAAACTGGCAAGAGTAGGCTGGTTGCCTTTTGTTTTTTCTGATGCTCTCTTTTTGGCCACTCTTGTCTGCTACACCCAGAGCACTAACACAGATTACCTAGTCCCCTCTCTCCACCCACCTGATGGCCAGGTAGATTTTTTTTTCTCTTTCCTGGCCAAGTTCTTGAGTACCCTTAAGGGAGCTCTGTAAATGGCTCCAGGCCCCAATGATGGTGTTACCCAAGTGTAGGGGATGGTCCCCTTGTACTCTAGTTCCCTTTTAGCTACTAACAATCAGATTCACTTTTACAAAGGAATACTTGATAATCACAAATATACAAACTTACTTCCCCAACAGGTGGGAGACATAATCCTTCCCCTTTGCACTATCTCATCTTTGGGGGAGTGCAAGCGGATTAGGTTCATAGCTTGGCTTGGCTCCTGCAGAAAGCACAGATCCAAGTCCAAACGCCATCTCAGGCTCAAGTCCCAGGTATCCTGGCTTCTCAGGGCTTTCGCACTGAATGGTTTAGCAGTCCTTCTCTCTTGGAATCCTAGCTTCAGTGTTGCCATGGCTCCAATTCTTTGGTGCAGTAGGAATCACCACTAGTGCCTACAACTGGGAAGGATAATGATTTGTTGTTGTACTTCATACTCAAAGAGGATCAATGTCATGGTCAATGTATAATGTTTCCGACTGTGGTTAATCAGACCAAAACAGGTTGGGCACAAATTGTCCTTATGAACATTTATCTAAAAGCGCACATCTTACATTTCTTTTTTTGGTTTTCTTTGTTTTCATGAAGAAGGTTGTATAACTTTTTTTCTTATGACTTCCTCTTTTTGCATCTTTTGTAGCCCTTTGGGAAGGTTTCAGCAATTATGGATGTATGTCAATGTGATCAAGACAATAATACTGTAGGGAAAAGCCAGACAAATATTTCTTTTTAAAAATTAATCAGTTAATTATTTTTTAGTTTTCAACATTCATTTTTATAAGATGCTGAGTTCTAAATCCCCCCCCCTTCCCTCCTCCGTCCCCAAGAGGGCATGCAATCTGATGTAGGCTATACATGTAAATATGTATTAAACATATTTCCACATTCATCATATTGTGAAAAAAGAATCCGGGCAAAAGGGAAAAACCACGAGAAAGAAAGAAACAAAAAACAAAAAAAAAGAAAACAGTATGCTTTAATCTGCATTCAGACTCCAACATTGTTTCTCTGGATGTGCATAGTATTTTCCATCATGAGTCTTTTGGAATTGTCTGAGATCATTACATCTCTAAGAAAAGCTAAAAGACAAATATTTCAAGAGAAAATGATACACCAAAGTTGTATGCCAAGTCTTTTGATAATAAATGTATCTTTTCCCTTTGTACCTCTGGATCAAGACATTTATTATAGCTATATAACTATCATAACTATAGCAGCTAAATGATGTTTTTTTGCAAAAACTACCATATTCTTTTAAATTTATAAATGGAAAAGAAATGGCTTTAGCAAATAATCAATTTTTAAACTACAGTGCTTTTTAAAAAATTCCTTTAGCATAGCTAGTTGTTTTCCAATGTCATATTTTGTTTTACATTTTAAAAACCTTTTTATGCCTCATTAAAAAAACATTTTTTCGCTAGACGGCTTCACTTTTTATTTTAATGTTCTTGCAAGTACAGTCAGATGGTGAAAATTAAAACTGGCACATGGCCTAGTGTTTATTTGTAGTTGTTCTCCAGTGTCAAATAACAGAAAATAGCATAACCTTTTGCCTCTAAATTTCTAGTCTGTGATTTTTGAGGTGAAATGAACTTTGAAATAGGATCATTATACAGTGACTACACATGGAAGCCCTATAGATTTCAGTGTTGAAAGCAGAAGAGTTTATCCTTATAGTTCCTTTTAGTATTAAGCTCTGCCCAGAAACCTTGGACTTGAACCTTCACAGATAGGTCAGAAGATAGCAGATAGGTATTGCATTGGACTTTCACTATTATCCCAGATTTCTTTGCTGTTGTTCAGGCTTTCAGTTATGTCTGGCTCTCCATGATCCCATAAAACATAATATATCAGGCACTTCTATCTTCTTCTATTATCTCACAAAGTCTGTCCAAACTCATATTTATTGTTTCCTGATACTATCTATCCATCTCACCCTCTGCTGTCTCCTTCTTTTGCTTTCAATCTTTCCCAACATCAGGGTCTTTTCCAATGAGTCTTGCCTTTTTCCTTGATCTCTACTTAATTGTAGCCTTACTTTCACCTTCTACCTTTAAAATATTTCCTCTAGACCTGTGCAGTCTATGTGCTTTGTTGTCCATCCATATCTTGGTTCTTTTTAAAGCCTTTAGTATGTATTTCTAAGGATGGCTAGGTGGTGCAGTGGATAGAGTGCTGGATTTAGAACCATAAAGACTCATCTTCATGAGTTCAAACCTCCCTTTGGCACTCTAATCTGCCCTTAGACACAACTTTTTATGACCCTGGATAAATCACTTAACCTTATTTGCCTCAGTTCCTCATCTGTAAAATGAGCTGGAGAAGAAAATAACAAGTATCTCTGCCAAGAAAACCCCAAATGGGATCATAGAGAGTTGGACGTGACTAAAAAAATTACTTAACAACAACAAAGTATATTGCTTGTATAAGTATTCATGTGCCTGTATTTTATCCAAAACAATAAGAGCCTAAGATAACCCTTCCCACAGTTTCTACACTAATTAGACCTCTGTTTTGAAAAATTCTTGCCTGCACCTCTCCAAGTTTTCTCTCCTCATCCTATCCCATCCTCCTTCCCATCTATGTTTGCACACTGTTGCCAGATTAATCTACCAAATCTTCTTTTAATGCTATCTTTCTTTCTTGGTGGTAGTACAGTAGCTGAAAAATGTTTGTCATGGCAAATGGCAGCAGAAAATGGGGTATAGGAGTAAGTCTTCTGTTCGGGGACTGACCTAGGGGTTAGGAAGACAGAGATGACATTATATTAAGTAAAGAAAGTGGATTTATAAAGTCATACCATGTGTCTATGATTCATTAGTCTGTGACTGCCTGATTTTGAAGATAGAACATAAGCCTGAGTTTCAGAAACCTCTGTGTGTCTTGTATTTAGTTTTACCTCAAAAGCCACTGAGTGGATTTGAGTCATTATAGAAAATACAAAAGTGGTTATTTTCTCTTTAGTAGGAATGTGGCTGGGGGGAGCAGCTAGGTGAGGAAGTGGATAAAGTGCTGGACCTGAAGTTCAGAAAATTCATCTTTGTGAGTTCAAATCTAGTCTCAGACACTTACTAGCTGTGTGACGCTGGGCAAGTCACTTACCCTGGTTTGCCTCTGTTTCTTCATCTGTAAAATGAGCTGGAGAAGGAAATGGCCAACCACTCCAGTATCTTTGCCAAGAAAACCCCACAAAGGGATCACAAAGAGTCAACACAACTGAAAAGGACTGAACAACAAACAACAAGGAATATGGGGAGATTGAAATTTTGGCTAAGATCAAGTTACAAAAGTGTCTTTAAATGTAGTTTTTGTCCATTTCTTTCTTTACCATAAAATAAAATATAATATTTAATTGTTCAAAAAAAATCCTATCACTTTCTTATTCAGTTATCTTCACTAGTTTCCTAGGATAAAGGATAAAGTTTCCAGGATAAAGTCAAGATTCTTCTTTTATACCTGTGCTCCTCACATCCTCACATTTTAAGTCCAGTTTACCCTAATGTGAATGGTTTGTTTCCACTAGAATGATCCCAAAACTCAATCTCAAGACATAATGCCTTCTAAACCAGGGTTGGGGAACCTTCGGCCTTGAGGCCCCATGTGGCCCCTAGATCCTCAAGCGCAGCCCTTTGACTGAATCCAAACTTCACAGAACTTCTGTGAACCTGCTCTGAACTTTTACTTTGGTTGTAAAGGTGGAAGGAATGTAGTCCTCCTCTCTATTTAAATCTTACCATTTATTTAAGACCCAACTCAAGTCCTAGTGAATCCCAGATCTTCTCTGAAGACTTCAATGAAGAATCTAACCCTGGATTTTTCTATTCCCTGAAATTCCCCTGCATTTAAACAGCCTTCTTTTAAGAACATTTACCTGTTTCAAAGATCTGAGGTTTGCCTTATCTTTAATAATTACATTATAAACTCCTTGAGGGCAGGGTTAGAGCACTTATCTCTTTTATATCCCCCAGAACAGCTACCAGCACACCCAGGACTGAGATTGCCCTCAATTCTTCTCCATACCCAGGTCTACAAACCTCAGGGTCATCCTCCACTCTTCATTTTCATTCATCACACAATTCTAATCAGTTGCCAAATTTTTTTTACCCTCTTACCTCTAGGATCAAAAACAAAATCCTCCCTTTGGCACTCTAAGCCCTTCATAACCTGGCCCCTTCCTACCCTTCTGGTCTTCTTCCACCTTACTTCCAGTTTGCTGAGTACTCTTGAATCCAATGACACTGGCCTCCTTGCTGTTCCACTAACAAGAAAGTCTATCTCTGGCTGTCCCCCACTCTTGGAATATTCTCATCTCTGCCTCCTGCATTCCCTGGCTTCCTTCAAGTCACCACTAAAATTCCATTTTCTACAGGAAGCCTTTGCCAATTCTTCTTAATTCTCATGTCTTCCTTGTGTTATTTATTTCCTGTTTGCCCAGTACCTTGCTTTTTCTACATATTTATTTGCTTATTGTCTCCCCTACTAGATTGTGAGCTCATTGAGGGCAGACACTGTCTTTTGCCTTTCTTAGTATCCTCAAGGCTTAGCACAGTGCCCGGCACTTGATAGGTGCTTAATAAATGCTTATTAACTATTTCTAATTCCACATCTCTCCCTTTCTCTACGCACACAGTTCAAACCCTGTATCACCTTACCTGAACTACTGAAATTGCCTCCTAATTGGTCTATCGGCCTCAAGGCTCTTCCCCACTCCAATCTATCTCCCATTCAGCCAGCAAAGTGATTTTCTTAAAGCACCAGTCTGATCGTGTCACCTTCCTTCCTTAATAGACTCCAGTGCTCCCAAGTAACTTCTTTGATCCAATATAAATTCTTGTCATTTAAAGCCCTTCCTAACTCACCCCTTTCTATCTTTCCACCCTTCTTATACACAACACCCCTCTACACAATATAACCTAGCCAAACTAGCTCTCTTGCTTTTCTTCAGTACTGGGATCTCCAATACTCCCATCTCCCCTACTCATGCGTCTGCACTGGCTATCTACCATGAATCTATCCCTCTTTAACTCTTAGAATCCCTGATTCCTTTAAGACTTAGCTCAAAAACCACATTCTACTTCTCTAAGCTTTTCAAAGTTAGCCGTTAGTGTCTCTTTCCCTCCTCCCTCCAAATTTACCTTGTAAACATCTGCTCTGGATGCATTTTGAATATATCTATATATATGCACTTTGTCACACCCTTTAAAAAGGTCCACTTCACTTTATATCTTCTACCCCGCCTAGTTTCAATTCCATGCATGGAGCAAGATGCCCAGAGCTGGGTAACCACTGATGTCCTGTCCCTCTTTCTCCTTTTCTTTCCTACCTACTTTTGCGTATTGTCTTTCCTTTTAGATCCATGAACTCATTGAGGGCAGAGATCATCTTTCTTTTTACTAAATGTATCCCCAGTATTTAGCAAAGTTCCTGGCATGCATGTTGTAGACACTTAATAAATGTTTATTGGATGAGAAGGCAAGTTACCTGAGAGACGGGACTTTACTTTTGTCTTTGTTTTTACCTTGCTTGGCATATAATAGCACTTAATAAATGCTTGAGTAGGTGTTTAATAAATATAAGGTGAATGAATTATGAGGAATTAAGGCTCTTCCCCAACTGTAATTTGATGGTCATATATGAAGTCCCCAAAATTAAATAGTTGGAAGGACCTTTAAGATCATCTAAGGCCAACTTCCCATCCCATGTAGAAAGGTATCTCTGATTCATTGTCATCTACTATCATCAACTGTCATTGTTCACTTAAAACAACAAAACAACTAATTCATTAATTCAACCAACATTTGTTGTTCACTGGCCATTGTGTTCCAGATACCATGAAAGGCAGTGGGGAGACAGACAAAAACCAGAAAGTACCTATCCTCAAGGAGTTTACAGTTGTGCAGTAGATAGAGTGCAGGATCTGGAGTCATCAAGACACATCTTCCTGGGTTCAAATCTGGCCTCAGACACTTAAAAGTTGTATGACTCTGGGCTAGTCACTTAACCCTGTTTGCCTCAGTTTTTTCATCGGTAAAAGGAACTGGAGAAGGAAATGGCAAACCACTCTAGTATCTTTGCCAAGAAACCTCCGAATTGGGTCACATAGACTAAATTGAACAATGTGGTGGGGAAACAGAAGAGAACAGATTAATTCCTATAAAATAGGTACAAAGCATATACAAAAATTTCCTGAAGGGAGGGAGGGCATTAGTTACCTTGAGAGGGAATCAGGATAGGCCTCTAAGTAGTAGGCTGTAGCTCTTGAACTAAACTCAGAAACAAAACAGGATTTCAAGGTGAAGTTGAGGATTAAATCCTATTCTTTACTGGTCCCTTTTCTATGGAGACAGAAAAGGGATCTGCTAGGATAAGAACGTGAAAACCAAATTCCATTTGCTCTATTCTTCCTTTTCAGTTTTCTTTGTAAATAAGTGAGGGTTGTTTGTCCTGTAGAGGTAAGAAAACCAAACTAGGGAAGGAAGGGTACATGACCCTGAGAAGGCAGCCAAGGCCAACGGGCATAGGTAGAGCGAAAGGCCACAAGTTACTTAGGATAGACATCATATTCCCAGACACAAGAGGAAAACAAGCCTTGGGAAGAAAAGCCACGTAGTTTTAAACCCATACAATAACGAAGAAGAAAATTTCCTCAGCTCCTTAGGTGGGTGGGTTGCTCTGTTGGGGTGAGACCTCAGCTGGGCTGGGGTGACAGTTGTTTGCTTAAGGAGGAAGGGATGAAGATGCGTTTGGTTCTCAGCTGTTTCTAATGGTTGCTTTGGGGGGGCGGTGGGAGGTTTACAACTTATAGCTACTTCTCAAACAACAAAGACTCAGTTGCGGTTCTCTACAAATCCTATCAATTTGCCAGAAACCAAGGTGAGAGGGCTGATTCCAAGGTTTTAGAGCCCATGGCAACAGTTGCTTCTTCAGAGTTAATAAATACACCAATTGAATAAATAAAACCAAAACAAAACCACCAAACAAAAAAGTTGACAAGCAATTGCCCCCAGAGCGAAAGGGACTAGCAGCTGTTTGTCTCTCGGTAACTGAGCAACACCCCCAGCGAAGAGCCTTGTTTCCTTTGCTGTGTCATTTCTTTTCTTTAAGACGTTTCATTTCATTTCCACCCCTAAACCGCCAGAAATGAAAAAAACCTTGCTGTCACACAGAGCTGCAATCGCCCGCCACTAACAAGCTTGTGTGTGTGTGTGTGTGTGTGTGTGTGTGTGTGTGTGTGTGTGTGTGTGTTCGCGCGCGCAAGGATTTCTGCAACCACTGCGGTCCAGCTTCCCGCCGGTCCGCCCCCTCCTCAGAGACCCCGGCGGGACTGGGTGGCGGGAGGTGGGGGTAGAGAGGGGGGTGCCCCCTAGACTCTGTGCAGTGCCCAGCCATGGGCGGTAGGGGCCGCTACTGCGCGGGCCCCAGCTCCCGGCCTGGGTGTGAATAACGGGGCAGGGTTGCAGGAGAAAGGAAACACGATGGGGGGGGGGGAGGAGGCGGTGGCGGCCGGAGGGAGGGAGGGAGGGAGGAGAGTTCACTTTTCCTACGGGTGTCAGCGCACAGAGCTGAGTAATCGTAGAGCCAGGCAGCAGCTGCGGGCGCCTAGGAGAGTGCTGGGAGGTAGCAAATCACCTATTTGGAGAAGGTGGGAGAGGCGCAGGAAGACAGACAGCTGCAGATTATAGAGAAGCCTGGCGCCGCAGCCCGAAGCCGTCCCGGGCGCTGTAAAAGCGAGCGGAGCGGAGCCCCGAACCCGGAGTGGCTGAGGCAGGAGCGCACCGAGCCGGCCGTGGAGTCGCGGGCGCTGCGCAGGATGCATCATGAAGAGCTGTCGTCGCCCTTGCAGAGACCTCGATATGGCTGTAAGTACGCTCTCCGCGGGAACCTTGCGCTGTCCTCTGGAGATGGCTAAACAGCCACGGACCACAAAAAGTAACCTGTGGAAAGGGAGGCTAACTTGCAGAAAGGCGCCCGGATGCGCGAGGAGGAGGGGAAGGGAGGGAAACCCTACTGCATGGCTGGCAAAGTTGGAAGCTGCAGTTGTAAAGCGCCCTATGGTTTCCTCCTCCCCCTCCTCCCTTTTTCTCTCCTCCCCCTTTCCCTCCTCTTCCTCCCTCTCCCCAACTCTGTAGTCCGCTAGTGGTGAGCACCCCAGAAGGGTTGGGGGTGTCAGGTGAACGTGAAGTGTCACAGGCAGCTGTCCAATCTGGAGATGGGGGGGCGCGTTTGGAGGCTCCGTCCTCTTCTCCCCAGCCACCCAATGTTGTAAGGAAAGTTTGTTTGCTGGGGTTGCAGGTGGGTGCTGAGGTCTACCGCCCCTTGCGGGCTCTCTTCACGCCCCCTGTCTCCACTGATGCCAGGCTATGCGTGGGAAGGAAGTTGGCACCCTTTGGGCAGAACCGGCGCCTCCTCTCATCCCAGCCTCGGTGGGAGGAGCCGAGCTCTTTTCTCACAGGTGTGTGTGCGTGTTCAAGTGTGCATGCGTGCCTGTGAGACTCTCGGGATGTCTGTTCCCCTCCCCCACACCCCTCCTTTCGCTGGCCCCCAGCCTGAACTGATTGGCACTGGGATGGCTACAGCGAGAGGGCTAGGGCACTGGCTCCAGGGAACGAGTTTGAGGCCGCGTGACTTAAACGAGATGATATATGATTACAGAGTGAGAGGCAGCCCTTGGAAGTAGGCTGCAGGAGAAATGCAGTTGATTATGAGTGAATCTGGGTAGATTAGCACCAACCACGTGTCTCCGTGTACTGAGTTCAGAGTCCTAAACATGTGCCAGGAAGTGGTTTCTTTTTTTTTTCTTTAAAAAAACGTGTGTATATGTGGGGGGCGGAGTTGGCGGTATCTCTGAGGGGCTGGGCCGTGATAATTAAGCCACTGTTTAGGGACAGCCTGGAAGACTAATTTAATCATTTGCCAAGGCAAAGTGCTGCCGACTTGCTCTAGGTGCGGATCCCCTGTGGTACCTGTTACAGCATTTGAAATGATCTAGAGCTCTGAGATGTCCAGGAGTAGCCTTACAGATTTTCCACAGCCTTGCTGAGCTGTGTGAATCCCCTTTTTCCCAGGCCTCCGTCTTTAGGCAGGAGGGTGAGGAGAAGAAAGTTAATGCCTCCCATGTGTGTGGCATGTCAGTCACACAAATTTCTGTCCACTGGAGGGAAATACATTCAACAGTTGATCCTAGGCCCTGTTAGTTCTTCGGGTAACTGCAGCACCAGGCGGCAACAGGAGAACATGCTCAGTTTGCACTTGGGTAAATCACATAGCCTGCAAGCACGTCAACTGTTTAAAATAGGTGTGCATTTTTCACGTTTACCGGTTACTTAAGGGTTAATATTCGAGTTGGTTCAAGGACTTCTGCCTACTTTATTTTCCTGTACTAAAAATTGATGTTAATGAATTTGATTGCCTGATGTGTACTTTAAGAAAAAATAGCATACTTCCACATTTTTTAGTTAGCCAGACTCTGGGCTTTGGATTTCTTTTCTTTTTTTCTTTTTCTTTTTTTCCTTTTTGCTAGGCAATGGGGTTAAGTGACTTGCCCAGGGTCACATAGCTACTAAGTGTCAAGTGTCTGAGGCTGAATTTGAACTGAAGTCATCCTGACTCCAGAGTCAGTGCTCTATCCACTCCCCACCTAGCTGCCCCTGGGCTGTGGATTTCTTGCCATGTATTTGAAAGAGGTGTTTAAACCAGTATATCCTATTCATTTATACTTGTTTCTGGCAACCTCTAGTGCAAAAGTGGAGAACTTTAACCTGTAGATATAAAGTTTGACGTTTAGTGTTCTAAGCCTCTTGTTTGGTTGAGACCTCAATAAGTTTTATCACTGAAAGGCCATACTAGGCGAACTGTAGGAATGAATAATGAAAACTTCCTTCATCTACAGTGTGATGGTTGTCCCTCCCTTCCCCTCACATCCCTTTGAGTTTGTGGGTTTTGTAATTAAGTAGGGTTCATTCTCCACCCCCCAAAAAAACCCTACAACACTCTTCTTCCTCCACTTTTCTTTCCCCAAACCAAGATTATAAACAACTTGACCTGAACTGTAATTGCATTAAGAAAAAGTGGTATGAAATACAAATTAAAGTGCTTACCTTCTGAGCATAAAGCAATTTAAAATTTCTTTTTAAAAATGTAATCAGAAAATATGTAAGGTTACTCCTGAACATCTCAGAATGTGATTTAAAACATAGAATTGAGTATTATGGTGGATTAGGGACTCCAGGTTTGTGCTTCATAATTCCCCTTGTTTCCCCCCCTTTTTTTCTAATATACTGTACTAGCTCAATTAAATGACAATTAACAATATGCTGCCAGAAAATCTCTCAGATTCTACCTGGCTAGGGATCTGCAAAATACCACATAGAAGCCTATGCTTGTGGAACTTCTCAATGAGTCCTCCATGGAGGCTCAGGTTTCTGACAGATGAGAAAATTGCTGAAGTTTGTGATTCACACATCTTGCTATTGAATTAAATAGCTTACCCTTACATTACTCTGAAGTGATGGCTGTACCTTGCTTTAAATATGTAAAGCTATTTAGTGTAGATATTTAGCTTTTATATCTCAGAATGAGACTTAAATCAGTAAGGTTAGCTTTACATGGGGTGTGTGGAGCTGGGTGGATACCATTGAAAATACAGATGTTTTTGAGATAAGCATCACTAGATTAGACCACTCCCAAAAATATTTCTTAGAAGTGATGGGCAAATGCTGGTACAATGAACTTGAATTTGTAGTTGTTCAATTAACGCTGAAGAATAATAAGGAATAAGGAAAGTTTGAAAAAACAGGCTGTTGTGCATCTCTGTTTGTACAAAATGCAAAGCTGGTTCCTGTTGAGAATAGTCTACTATTATCTGTCACTTGGGCTTCAGTTTCCTTAGTTTACCTGTAGGACCTGTAAATCTCTGAGGTTCTTTCCAAACTCTAGTCCAACTCTTTGCAATTAAACAACCAAAACTGGGGTGCTATGATTCACCTGTGAATCATGGACTTTCAGAGCTGAGAGGGACTTTTAAAGATTTGTCCATCCCCTTCATTTCACAGATGAGGAAACCAAATTAGATTCTCAGTTCTATCATTGATTAAAAGAATCAGATGTCAATGTCAATAGCTTCTCCAGTGTGCTAGATACTCTCCTATGCACTAGGGATACAAAGAAAATTAAACTGTCCCTGACTGTAAAGAGTTTATATTCTAAAATTCGTTACCTACCCCATCTGGAAAAATTGGGGAAAATAATCGCATTCTTCCATTTTTCAGATACGTTTTAAAAATAATGGACTCCAAAGTATTTTTTTTTTGAGAATAGTATCTTATTTCTAGCTGCTACAGGCTGCTTTTGAGTAGTATTCTTCTTGAGACAATGGCATTTCTAAAATTCCTTGATTGAAATTTCTGGCCAGTAGCAGGACAACTTTTGTCTTCTGCTAGTTTGTAATGTCAAGAAACTTGGTGGAAGGCACCCAACCCAGCATGTTGCATTTGTCACTCTGGAAGATTTATGGGAGAGTATACTGACAAATCTCCTCAGATGAGACAGTGTGAAGAGGCTCTATACTGTTGGACAGAAAAGTCACATTTATAAGAAAAAAGATCTCAGTTGTGGAAGGATCACTTAGTTTTGCAACCTCTTAAATACAAAAAATATATATTTTCCACTTCTACTTGATGTTAGAGATGAATTTAACAATCCAATTCACTGCAACAGATAACTTTTTATTAGTGCAACTGTCCTTGTACTCAAAGGGCTTATTTTCTATTAGAGAGGGGCAAGACACCTTGTACACTGGCAAATAAAACAAAATAACTTCTGGAGAGAGAGGGTTCTAGTAACTGGGGATCAGGATAGGGCTCATGTAGGAGGTAGCACTTGGGATGGCTCTTACAGGAAAATAGGCATTTTATAAGGGGGAGCTGAGGAGGGAATGAATGCATTCCAGCCTTGGAGGACTTTGATGGAAAAAAGGGGTAGAGACTAGAATATAGTACAGTGAAATACCTTAGCTCAGAAGAGCTGTAAAATAGGATTGTATCTCTACTTAGAACTGATCTTAACTTTTTTTTTTTATTAAATGTAGGGTGATCTGTATGTATGTGTGTGAGAGAATGATACCTGCTCATTTTCACTGGGCAGATTCTTGAAGAATTTGAACCTCACAATCCTGACTTGGTTCTTTATGACACCTGTAATTAAAGCTCAAGGGTGGGGTCCAAGTCATCTGAACCTACTTCTGACACTTAGCATCCATGTGATAATCTACATGTCATTTAACCTATTTAAGCCTCAGTTTCCTTATCTGTAAAATGTGTAATGCCTATAATATTTATCTGAGTTGTGATCATTAAATGAGATGATGTAAGTTGTCATTTTTCTTTGGAAAGCCTAAGGGTCTTATATCTGTCTGCTATTATCACAATATGAATTTGTATCTAGGGGAAAAAAAGTACTTCACATTCCCCATGTTTGTGCTTTGTTAAAAGTTTAAAGGAAACTATTCTGTAAAATATCAAGTTATCATACCTTAGTCATATACACAAAAATTAGACAAACTTGTAAGAGTTTTGTCAAAATTACTAGGTCTGCCAAGGCCAAGTTTATGAAAATGTTAATAAATTTAAGCATTAGAATTTGATTTTGTTGTTCTTTTGGATATGTTTGCTTTTTTGTTTTTTAAATTTTTTGGGTGTTAAGGGACTCACAATTTCCCATCTAGGGTATTAGTAACTTAACTGTTTAAAGAGCAACAGAAATGCACAGATGATATTTATAAAATCCTCACAATAACAATAAAAACCTAATTACTAAAATCCTGCAGTTGTGATAAGCCCAAGTGCAAATGAAGTTTAAATAA